TAAAATGGTTTTCGTCCAAGTTTTGCGCTACCTGGAGGTGGTACACAGATGGTGAAAGCACGCTTAGAAATGGGGGAGGCGAATTGGTAAAAAAATGTGACCAATTTGGTAAAAATTGGTAAAAAAAAGGTGTGCCAAACTGGCAAAAAGAATGTGTTCAATCTGGTAACAAAATGTGAAAGCACTTTTAAGAATGTGGGGAAAACATTTGTAAAAAATGTGGCCAATTTGGTAAAAATGTAGCATTTTTTTAAAGCCTGGTTAAAAAAATTGGCAAAAACCATTACAAATTTGGTACCGTTCACGGTAAAATCTTACTTGTAAAAAATGTGGCCAGCTAGCTTTTTGAAGTGTTTTTAAAATTGACAAATTGGTAAAAACCGTTTCAAATTTGATAACCACCAGCACCTTTTTCTAAAAAAATTACCATCTCACTCACGGTAAAATACTACCAAACCACCACTAGTCTGGTCTGGTACATACTTACTTTCAGTAAAAATCCGTTCCAAAATTTTTAACTGTGCATACCTACCTACAAGAATGTGACGAGTTATTATTACACCAGAACAATCCCTCTCTTACATTCATACATTCACACATAACACAACTGACAAATGCATATTTGTTGCCAACATTTCTTTTTAAAAAATTGCATAATTGTGTAACCAAAGCAGGTTGCACAACAACAAAACAAATCAATACGGAACTAAATACACGTCTCATTTAATTCATAACTAACTTATGAATTAAATTTGGCAAAAGTCATTGTTCGCCAAATTCGGGTCCGGGTAGGTAGGTAATTAAAAAGCGGGTACTTTTCATCATTACCAAATTATTTACCGGGGCTGGTACTTTCCATAATTATTTACCGGGAACTTTTCGCGTTATCGTCAAAATCATCATCATCATCATCATCAAGGTAAAAGAAAAAGCTTTTAACGTTCCCGACGTCGTCATCGTCATGTCATCGTCATAATCATGCAATCATCATCGTCACTTCACTTCACATCACTCGTCTTAATGAGGTGACTCTCATTGTGGGACGGGACGTGATAAGGCTTGATTAATCGATACATTGACATGACAGAGACTGGACACTTCATTAATTCGGGCCACGTTGCGGTAAAGGAGCTGTCATGATGTCAAAAGATTTGAGGTGTAAGTATAATAACTGAGAACTGACTACCAAATTTTGCTACTTGCATACTTGACATTATGAATTTTCATTGTGTAATGGACGTGTTTTACGGGAGCGTTTTACTTTATATAATGTGCTTTGTGTGGAAGGAGACAGAAATAATGCGGGGAGGAGAGGGTAGTGTTTGGGTTTAATTGATTGGGGGGAAGATCGATGAGGATTTTGGAGTTGGTACAAAAGTGTGAGGTTACGACCAAATTGGTAAAAATTGGTAGCACCAAATTTCTAATCAAGTATGTATGACCAAATTGGTAAAAAAATTGGTAGCACAAAATGTTTAACAAAATGTGTACGACCAAATTGGTAACATTTTACATTCCAACAAGATATTTATCAAATAATTTTGCAAATTTGTTACGCAATATGGTAAAATTGCTTAAAAATATTTGGTAAAAAATTTGACCAAATACTTTACCACAAAATATTACGAATGTGATATTTCTTTCCACGGGTATCAAAATCTGTTTGGAAAATCGGGTTAGAAATAAGAAATACGTTTTTTAAACCCGATATATTTCTGTCCATCTTTTCCAATCCACCCACCCCAGAAATCACTCACTCACTTTTTGAGCCGATATAAGGAAGGCGACCTAAATTATATCCCTCGTTACATAAAGGCCGGTCCTTTTGTTCCCTATAAATATTATTAGTATTGAATGGTTCGCTTCACGGGGAGGAGGATGCTTCTCTCCGTCTTTCATTTCCTTCGTTAGGACCCTGCATAAAGCATGCTATGTTTTTGAGAGGGCATTGCCTTTTCCCCATTTGAAATATAATTTATTTTTCATTTGAACAAAACTTTTAATCGAGATGAATTCTGATGTAATTCACGCAGTCCTTCGTAACATTGTAGAATCCGTAAATTCTGTAGCTTTTACAAAATTCTTGAAATATTCCTAAGAAAAATTAGCTTAAAATTTGTTTTTCTAAAATTAGGCAGATCAAGAGCGTTTCCTTATTTTGCAAAAGTTTATAAAATTATTTTACGACACTTCCAGATTTTACAAACTACTCCGTGAATTGTCTCGTGTATATCTGATTTTAGTAGTTTAGCATTCTGTAAAAGACTCATTTTTTATCTAAATGACGTCCAAATCTCTCGAAATTCTTTAAATCCCCCACTTAAAGTTTCCCAATGAAATAAATGCAGACATTTTGGAAGTGGCATTAATGCTAGCCAAATTGGTAGTAAAACATGGCTAAATTGGTAAAAAATTACCAAAATGGTCACAATGGTATAACAAATTTTTATGAAAGACGATGCAAATTTAATACGAAGTTGTTGATACAAATTCGCCATTTTTGAAGAAAAATGTCCGAATTTGGGAAAATTTGTGTTTTAAAAAATTCCCCGAAAATTCATTCCCATCCCTTCTGCCCGGTCCCTGGCTAAGCTTAAGCTAACTATTGCGTGCCCAGCCAGCAGACCAGCTCAAGGAAAAGGAAACCATACTATAGAAGAACTGACTGAGTGAGTGAGTAAAAAGGGGCAGAAATTGCCACGAATATATCACATCAGTCATCTCCAAAGTTTGGCTGAGAGAGTGGTGGAAATGAAAAGAAGTCAGCTTTTTTGAGCCCACGGAGACGAAAGGCTTTTCATTTCATTTCATCTCAGCCAGACCCGAGATGGAATGCCGTGATGGCAAAAAGTGTAAATTAATGGGCCCATTATACTCTCCATTGTTGACTTGAGACTAATCTAAAAATATATAAAAAATCGAGACAGCCAGAGAGGAATGAAATGAAATGTCTCATTTTTCCCGACCAGCCAACCAACCAAGCCATCCCCAATCGACAGGATCTTCGCGTTTAGACCGGCTTCCCAGAACGAAAGAGATAGTAGCAGAAAGCTGGATAACTTTTTTGGGGAAAAAAATTGTAGGCTTGAAATTTTTTGAATGTTAAAAGAAATTTTGCGTAGATTTTGTGGAAAGAAAATTGCAAATTTTTGGGAAAAATTTGAGGGAAGAATTTGGAAGACGAGATGAATCAGATCTATTGTGCTATTTGTATTATGTGATTTCATAACTTTTTTTAGATCGGCGTTCAAAAATGTCATTTTTCTTTAAAAATCTAAAAATATAATTTGCACAAGCTTAAGCTTTACTTGTCTTACAAGGAATGAATTTAAAACATTGTGCTCTTGGTTTTTTGAAGATTAAAAGAAATATATAAAATTTGGGTGTGATTTTTAAAAAATGCAATTTTGGGAAGATTTAAATATTAAGATTAGTACATCCTCAGTACACAGACAACAGAGACTTAGGTACCTGTCTAATATATTTTAGTACTAAATAATCTCTAACTTTTTATAATCGGCACTCAAAAATGCGATTTTTGGTACAAATTTTTGAAAATTTTTGGTACAAATTTTTGAAAATTTTTGGTACAAATTTTTGAAAATTTTTGGTACAAATTTTTGAAAATTGTTCGTACAAATTTAAAGCTTTGTACGCTATTTGTCTTGCATAACTCAAGGGATGAATTTTGGTGTGCATCTCGGAAAATTGAACATTTTTGGTTTTATTGTATTTATTTTCTGCGAAAATTTGCAATCATTTTAAAATGATATAATTTTCCAGACCAAAATTTACGATTTACACATCAAAACGCGTCCCTTGTTAATCTCAAGATTAGCCTCCGTATTTTCGTGGCTTCTTATTTCTCGTCTTCCTTTTTAACTTTCAGTTCATGTCATTAGAGGAAAATGGTAATTGTTCGCGTCACATTTTTGAACAGAGCAGGATCGCATTTTAGATTTTATTTGTTCCTAATGAAGCAGAGTTGAACGGTGTGTGTGTCTGCACACTGCACGATTTAGAGTATCTACTTGTCCATATTTTTATTTATCTTAGAGAGAGGAACGTGCACCTAATTTCACCCCTTAATTTGAGACGAGATGGTGGCAATTCATGACCAAATGGGACAGGGTGCCAGTTCATAAATCGAGGGTGAAATATAGGCGCAAATTTGACAAAAATACAGTTTTTTAAATTGAATTGAATAGATAAATAGATAAACTCTTAGAAATTGTCAATTTACTAAAACAATTTACTAAATAGTTGTCAATTTAGTATTCCGTGAGAATACTAAATTTTACTAAAATACAGTTTTTTAAGTGAGTTTTATGAATCGTAGAAATGCCGAAAAATAAATTCTTAAAACTTGTCAATATAATCAACAATTTAGATCAAACGTGACTCTGATGCAATTCACACAATCCTTGGTGACATTGTAAAATCCAGAATTTCTGCAAGTTTGCGAAATTTTAAACACATTTCTGAAGAAAATTAACTCCAAAAATTTTGCAAACTTACTAAGGTTAAGGCCGTCTCTTTATTTTCTAAAAGTTTATAAAATTATTTTACAAATCTTATCAATTATACAAAGTTATCAATAGGTCCTCTCAAGGCTCAAAAAATGAGCGAAATGAGCAATGAGCAGAAAAATAAAAAATCAGATTTTTCTGCTCAAACCTTGAACGTACCACTTTTTTTACCGATCATAATTCTTGAGAATCGTGATCTTTATTTGTGGGAAGTTCAATTATTTGTTTATCATTTTAATGGTTCTAAATTCAGTTTCATAATTCATACAATTCCGAAAATAACTGAACGTCAAGAGATATGAGAAATTTTATCATTGTGCATGGCTTTAACATGGCTTTTAATGGGTTTCAACAACAGGCATTGTGAAAATATTGCAGGAGAATTAACGAACAGCATTATCTCAAATAATTCATTTTATGTAGCAGCAATAAACAATTTTATGTATAAATCAAATGCTTAAAATTTAGATGTAATAGTTTCCAATTTAATTTTGAGTTCCAGTATTTTTATTTCGGCTTCGCTGAATCGTAATTTTATCGCATTGAAAATCATTAGATTTGATGTAATTGAAAGAAATGACCGCACTTTTGTCCAGAGTTTCGTCTTTCTCAGGGTCAATCCCAAAACCCGACTGGTTTAACTTCTCTTTAGTCTCTGTGTACGTTTTAAGAAATCTGTCAAATCCATTTTTTATTTGACTTTCTTCGCAATTAAGGGCAAAGCATCTTGGAGGCGACGAAGGAATTCAGTGCGGTTGGTCACCTGCTAAAATATTTTTTTGCGATTAAGGATTTGGTTATTCAAAATTACATGTGGATAACAAATTATCATTTACCTTACCTTAAATGAGGTGTTATTGTTGACGACATAATATGCCATGTCAATTTTTACTTGTGCTGTCCAGCGAAATATTTTTCGGCCGCCTACCTCCACGACGCTACTTTTGTTACAACAAATTACGGGATTTGCAACTTTTTCGACACTGGTACGCTTAACCTGGGTCTTGGGACCCATAATGATAAAGAATATGTTTTAGAGAACTTTACTTAATTTTTAAACGAAAAATTGAAGTAAACAAACAACTGATGTGCTGATGTGGAGCAGAATGAGCAGGATTATGAGAGAAAAAATCAACCCAAAACTCGATTTTTTTGTTGAGCAAGAAAATCTGATTTTGAGCGAAATCGCATGCGCACAGCCGAGCAGAAATGATCAGAATGAGCGATGAGCAGAAAAATCAGATCTTTTTTAGAGCTTTGAGAGGACCTAATGACTGCGTGAATTGCTTGTTTACTTATGACCCATATTTTTAGCGGTGAATTCACAAAATCTGCATTTTTTTCTTACATAAACCCTCCCTTTAAATGTCCCCATTTCATGCACTTCATCCCGCACGAAAAGCACTTTTCTTCGCATTATGAAACTCCCAAAAATCGTGGCATAACGAGTCGGGATCGTGTTTCATATTAAATATGATAGCTCGTTCGTCCGTCGGCCTGCCCAGTTTTTTTGAGGTGGTCCGTTCCCTTGCCTTGCTTTGTACATGTGATGGTCAAGCGAAGAAGAGTCGTGGTCTTTGTTTATCCAAGATATTAACGTCCCCGTGTCCATTACGTGGATTATTTATGGCCAAACGCGTCCCGTCCCGTATCGAAATCTACTCCATAAGTTCTTAATCAACTATTCATTCACCTCTTTAGTGCACGGCGGACGGCTGATATTTGCGTTAGGATTTGATTAGCTCACTTATTCTCAAATTGACAATAGGGAATTTTACAGACACTCTAAAAAAGACTGAGAGGCAATTCAGGCAGGAATTGGTAACTTGGTAAAAAAAATGGTAAATTTGGTAAAATAATTTTACCAAATAAAGAAACTCCCTTGATTTGAGTAAGTTTGCAAAAATTTGGGAGCTAATTTTGCTCAGAAATATTTGCAAAATTTTGCAAATGTTTACGGAATTTACCGGATTTTACTTTCGATGTTACCAAGACCTGCGTGAATCTGCTCTCTTTTTGGTAACAAAATTGGTAACATAACTTATGTACCGAGTCCATAACGCGATTTTTAAGAATAATTCCGCAAACAATTAGATGTCAACGAAACTGTCGGTAACGATTTTTAAGACTAATTTCACAAAAAAACATGCCGCTAACACAACTGTCTGTAACGATTTTTCCTACCAATATTGCCCACCAAATTCAAATTAATCATTCCCCGTACAAACAAACAGATGGTGTCAGCGTGGGAGTAAATTTAAATTTTAAGAAACACTCGCCACGCCACACATTTTTTCGTAAATGACAAAATCTGTCACCGCGTAACGATCTTTAATGCACAGCCGGTGACACTTTTATTCCCACATTATTTACCGTGTCTCGTTTCGTCTCTAAAGAAATTGTTGGTTGTTTACCCATTAAAAAAATTTTGTCATCCTTCATAAATATTTGCCCATGTGTGACTGGACATTATGAATGTATGGACATACAAAAAATTGTGTATGGATGAAAATATGCACGTACTTAATTGTGCCTTGTTCAACCCAACAATGGATTATTTTGGATGGAGAATCGGTAATCGTTTCAGCCATCACAGTTTAATTTGGAGCGGACAAAATATCTAAAAAAAAAATTGTTTCTACCTAGTGTCGTCATATTGTTGTCAACTCTGTTCAAAAAAATGCAAGCCCAATTTCCAATTTTGTTCCCAACTTCCCGTGAATAAAAGTGTGGAGAATAATTTGTTCCCCTTTCATTTGACATGTCGGATCGCACTGCACGCTGGATTTGGATCAGATTATGTAATGGAGTGAGTTGAGTGATGTTTTTATGCGTGATATTCATCTAATGACTTTTGCCTGAGGTTTGCCTCCACCTCTGCGAGCGAACGATGGATAGAGAGAGAAGGGGCTGGTGTAAAGGATGTGGGGGGAAGGTGGTGGTGGTGACAAAATTGTTACCGAGAGCAGTGTCGTATAGCCTTAGGTAGGTTGGGAATTAAGAGATTTGTGACCAGAAATTTTAGAAATTTGGTCAGGTAGAACTGAATTGAAGTGAAAAGTCGGTAATAATTTTGAATTTTCCAAACATTATTGGTAGTTTTCGGTAGCAAATTTTTACCAATGTGACCAAGCCTCGTATGGCAACCATATTTAAGCGGTGATGATTTTGTTACCAACTAATTTTGTGTGCATATAAATTATATAAACTATGGGAAAGATATAAGAATTTCGAACTTCCCAAAAATTATTGGTACTTTTTGGTAACAATTTTTTACCAATACGACCATGGTAGTTTTCGGTAGCAAATTTTTACCAATGTGCCCAAAGCCGCCATACTATGATTTTGAACCAACTTATATCCTGCACAATTTTCCCCATACGTTTAAAAATTCCCAGAAACCCGAAAATTTCCCACATCTTCCCCGTTTACCCCCCTACCTGGGCATTCATCCCATCCTTCTAGCTAGGCGTGTATACCTTTCGCTCTCAGTGAGTGAGCACAATCCATCCATGCACGGACGCTGTGTGTATGTAGTAGAGAAACAGAAAATTCAATATTTTTAACCCTTTGTTCCTCCATGGACAATTTTATTTTATTTTAGTTTCGTTCTGTGCAAAAGTTCTACGTTCGTAGATACGTACACGAGTCGAGATTTGTTTGTGAGTCGCTCTCTCGATGTGCACGATTTTTCTCGGCTGGTTGTTTTTCTGCTGAGGAAAAACGTGATCGTGAAGAGGAGAAGAATGACTTTTTGAAGAGTAAGTAGTGCAGAGATTTGTATTTGTGAGAGGCGAATGGCATTAAAGGTGTGTTAAAAGATGTACTTTTGTATGTGATCTTGATTATGCTGGAGGGATTCCCTCCAGCATAATGATATTTTATGCCGGGAGAGGATGGTGCATAAAGGACGAGAAGGAAAGAAATTCGAGGGGGATTTTGACCCCAGTTTTTTATCAAATTGATGACACGCTTAATACGCGTGAGTGAAGGTTAGGATTGCTTAAATTTGGTGGGTTAAGTGATTTGGTACAGATTTTTTTTTGACATGGTTTGACGACGATTTTGAATTTTTGGGGTGAAATTTATATCTAATTACAAAAATTTGTAGGTATGCTGTCTTCATCATTCTGGAAATGTAATGAGAAATTCAGCATACCTTTGCAAAATTTTGAATTTTACAAAAAAAATGTTAAACTCGAAATTTTGTTGGATTTTTATTTTGGGAATCGAAAGCTAAACTTCGGTTTTATTAAGTTATGAAGCTTCATCTATAATTTTGAGATTAAATAATAACCATTTCCAAAATTTTACGAAATTTGATCCCTAATTCACTCTCTCTTTTTAAAAAATCTCTCTTAAACTTTAAGGGTGACTTTTTCTACGGGAATTCCCCCATCACAATTACATCCATCCATTCCATTCCATCCGTCATTCATTAATCCATCGTTACATTCTCCCCGATCAAAAGTAGAATTTAGTGACGCGCATTACTCAAAACTCTCGTCATCCCCATTACATTCCTAACTATGGGCCGGCGTAATTACTTACTTAGCTTAAATCTGGCCAGAGAGGAGAAGACGTTGTTAAAACCGTGCAGGATTAAAACGTATGTATAACCATTAACTTGTATGAATTGCAGGTTTCCTTCACTTTACTCACCTCGAATAATCTTCTCTTTTTGGGATGGATGGAAGTTAGAAAATTAGCATGATTCTCGGATTTCTGCTCCCTCTCCAACTGGCCTGGCGTTTTGATAGAGGAAGTCATTAAGACTTGGCCAATTTGTCTCCTTCGTTTTCAGCAGGTCTGCCAGCACCAAACCATCATCATCACCAGGACGAGCAAGTAAGAAATCTGTGTAGTTCTGGCCAGCTCTCTCGGAGAGATAAATAGGGGACATTAATCTTTGCGAGGAGATGAGATATCTCCTTTCTGCCAAGTCTCAAAGTACTCAGGGGAATGAAAATCATGCCAGTTTTGCTTCAGGAGAGGAGAAGAAGAGGATAAGTCTCCGTGTCCATGTATTTATTAGGGTTAAACGTATTTATGAACCGACTAGGTACATATGAGCAAAATATTTTGTAAAAAATGTATAACGAACCAATTAACGTGGGAATTATTGGTAACTTGGTAAGATCGGTAAAAATTTTGGTAAAAATTGGTAAAAATTTTACAAAATAAGGAGATCTGAGCAAGTTTAAAAAAATTGAGGGCTAAGTTTCCTCAGAAATATGACTAAAATTTTGTAAAAGTTTGTAAAAATTTACGGGTTTTACAATGTTACCAAACCCTGCGTGAATTGTCTCGCTGTATTTTTACAGCATATGCACATATTTTGTCCACCTTTGGATGGGTGACAAGCTTACATACATACATATGTCCATACACATTAGTGCCTAGTCATCTTGGTCAATGACGAGTCATTTCTCCTTGGTCACGTGGGAATGACTAAATTCAGCCAGAAAATTTCCATCCGTATCTACCAGAGAGATGACACGTCTTCTTCTTCTTTCTTACCGCTTGGCTGACCAGATAAGCTACGTTCATCCATCGTTCCCACCCCACAAAAAATCCTCCCCCAAGAATTTTCATTTCTCCGTAATGAAACTCTTTCGATTCTGGATTGGACCAGTCCATTTCAGTCAGACGACGATGGAACGACAGGTATTTTTCATTCTTCTACTTCTTCTTCACGACGATGGATGTAGATCCATAGCGCACTTTTTTCTTCTCCTTCCCCTTTAAAAGTCGTGAGTCGTGTTGTGGGACAAAAAATAGGATTAGAAATTTGAAATGCTCATCAGCATGACTCTCTCTCTCCGCTCAGCCCAATTGTTCTCATTCTAAAGAAACTCCACGGTCTGAGACTGCCAACGCTCAGTCACACCTCCCCCCTCAACCCTTTCGCAGCTAGAGAGATAGATGCTGCATTCTTCCATCTCCTCATTTCCTCCTACCTGTGTCTTGTCTCAATCATCAAATAAGCATCATCAGCGTGATGCACACACCGACCGACCACCTTTCGTTTGTACGTACAAACGTATGCACGTAGACTTGCGAATCTAAAAATTCAATCAGTAATCAGTGCTGCGTCGAGGAGTGAAGACAGAGAGAGAGTGGGGAAGGGGGGAAATTGTCACCAAGATGGATATGGGAATTTTTTTGAGGGGAGGGGGATTTATTTCGGCCTGTTTTTTAAAAATTTGGTAGGTGTTAATTAGCCAAATTTTGTCACAGTATTTGTTTAAAGGGAGGTACAATATTGAGATACAATTTTGCCCAAGTAAGGAATAGTAATTGTCAAATTTATCATCGCAGAGAAATTAATTAATGGAGGAGCTTAGATTTTATTTTTTTAAATCGTTGCCGACGAGGTGTGCATTTTGTCCCGGTGAAAAATTGTCATCATAGTCAATAGTAAAATCTGGGTAAATTGTAGGAATATAAAATTCTAGAAATTTATCATTTTTCTTTTCGGGTGAGAAATTTATTACAAGAAAATAGATTTTACATAGAAATAGAAACAGATTTTACTTTCGTACATTGAAAAAATCGTTACCAACCCGATGTCACTTTTGTCCCCGTATTATTTAGAGTGTCCCCAACAACGAACATTAACACCTCTTCCAACCTGGTGCCTCTGTCCCCAGTTAAACACCTCACCTCACCTACCTCGGGGCGGACTAAGATAACACAACGCAGTCAATTCCTCCTCACAACAAAAGAGAAAGTTTCTAGAGAAAGGTGTGCTGCTGATATCTCTCCTCCGAAAAAGTGACAATGTTTGATGTCCTCGTCCCACCGTGGTGTGTTCCCTCTGGGGAAGAGTAAACATGTCATGTGGTCCATTTGTCACCTGGTCTCGTTGTGTTATGTTCTCTCTCTCTCTCTGCTTTGTTTGTTGACACCTTGCCGGTCGATTTTCCGTGCCTGGTACGAACCAACGAAATGGAGAAAGCAGATTTTTTTTCTCTCTCTCACCACCACCACGAACGGAGCAGACTCAGCAAAAGACTGGATTCGTGGATTGCCCACCCAAAAGAGCCCAACTTTCTCTCCATGTACAGCCAACCAGACCAGACCACCAGACCAGTCAGGAGAAAGCCGTCGTCCGAGAAGGAGGAATACCCACCCCGAAAAACACGCCACACTCTTAACCTACCCTGTAGATCCGGGCTTTTGTAGAGTAGCATGGGTGTCCCCAAAACACCTCAGAAGCTCGTTTCTACAGGTATCTCAAGGGTGCTGAGCTAATCAACAAGGAGAGAAAATCACCAGAGAAAACAGCCCCTTTCGGATTAAATAAGGACCCTTTTGGGACAAAGTAACGTAATTATTGAGCCCCTTAACGGCTTTTTCTCTTCTCCTAAATACATTTATAAGTGTACAAGATTAGTGTGTGATCCAAACCCTAATTTAATTTCCTTCTTGTTCTTCCCTCACAGAAAAAAAACCGAGTGGAGAAAGTAGCAGCTCTCTTCGCTTAAGTTGATGGAGTGGTCACTAAAACGAAACAGAAATCGTGTCGGATAATCAATTTTCTCCACCCGTAACAATTATCTCTCGATAACAAGAAGGCGTTACGATTATTGGGAAACTTTCTCAAAAAAATAACCAACTTTCTCCCACCTATGGCTCCCAGAATCGTCGCCGTCCATTTCTCGGCCCCCCTGGGAATTTTATGATTATTATGACTGACCCCCTACCTACCTAGCTGCGTACCATCATCACGGATCGTATCGGGGTAGATACAGGACTACCCGCACCAGGATTTTCTACCATGCACACACAATGGAGCCAAATCTCTGCCGATGATTGATGAGGTTGTCAATTCCATGCAGAAGAAAGAACACGAAGGAAGAAGGAGAGAACTCACCAACCAAAAATCAATTCCTTGCTATATACGAACGAACGTGGTTTGGATGGATGCTTTCTCCATTATGTGGACGTGGACATGGACGAAAGGAGGAAAGGAAAGGAGGAGGAGGAGACGGCGTCGGAACTTCAGACTCAATCAGCATCATCAAACAAGAAGGAGGCGAAAGTTGGAGAGACTAAATCTAAATCGGGGGCGGCCGTGGGATGATGGATAGATAACGAGAAATGGAAATCTATATAACGAATTAGTATCTCGCTACGCGCGACTAGTTTCACTGGATGGGAGAGAGAGAAGAAGAGGTTACATTTATCTTGTGAAGAGGAGAAAGGATGAATTTTTTAGGGAGAGAGCAAGAGAGATAGGAATTTTTTTGGAAAATATTTTAGTTTTTGAAGAGATTTTTGTTGGGGCGGAGTTGTTTTGTTTTGGATTATACTTTTTAAATAAATACCGTATTTTGACTAAAATACGGTATACGGGGGGTGTAGATTTGATATTTTTTTAGAGTTTATATTTTAGGGGAGATTTTTGTTCTGTTTGAAATATTTGTTGGTTTTTTGAGGAGAGATTTTTTAGAGTTTGGAATTTTTGATCATCCTAGTTTAGAGTTTAAGGGATTAATTTGTGTCTTTCCCCATGTGAAATAATGTGGTAGGAAAATTGTGTTCGTAACGATTCAAGTAAATAATTGTCCGGGAAATTAAAATTTGTAGAATTTTATAAGTCCTATTATTTACAATTTTTCCATAGATTATAGGTTTTGATTTTAGACTAAATGTTTAATTTTATTTTTGACTAGTATATGTACTTATTAACAAATTTGTCACCTTATGTTAGTAACGATCTAAATAATCCTCCGCCAAATTCAAATTTGCACTTACGTAATATTTCGAACCCAATTATTCCAACTTATTCCCACCCTCCGAGACAATTTTGTCCTAACTCAACCCTTTCCTACCCACAATTTTTCCTCCATGTACTTTAATCCGAAACAAAGCCTCCAAAATTACGAAATTACACCCGTTTTAATCTCTCCTCCTCAACCTACGTACTTACGCGACACCAAACTTGGTCTCCATCTCCGCATCGCATTATTGCATTATTACGAAAGAAAAAAAGGTCTCGAAATAAAATAAAATAAAATAAAATAAACTACAGCTCAACTACGTACGTATTGCTGCTCAGCCTTCCAATTAATTTGCTGGTCTGGTCTTGACTCGAATGGGAATGGAATGTCTGTGAGGAATTCGTCTTCATTCATGGCGTCGGAGCTGCCGTGTCATTAGAATTTTTTCTCTGTGCAGACTTTTCAAAGGACAAAAGGCTTTAGAAAGAGAGAGATGTTGCTTTTCTTTCAATGTTGCAAGTCATCCCATTAAAAAGACTGAGGAAAAAACAGAAGCAGCGACCAGACCAAACCAAGTTTTGGTCGTCTTTTTATTATTATTTTATTAAGACGAAAGCAGAAGAAGAAGAAGTGCCAGATTTAAATTTCATTCCAAAGTTAACAACCTCTCGGGAGGAGAGGATTGGAAATTTTAATGTGAATACAAAACCGCAGAGACCAAGATGAAGGAAGACCACCACACCACCACCACTAATTCATAATCCATTCTTAATCATGGTCCACTTTTTGGATGGGATGAGAGGAAGGTCTTATGTGAATGGGGTGGTTATTCTCTGTCTGTGTGTCTGGGTACATACTTTTAGAATTCAGTATTAAAATAGTACCAAGCGGTATTCATATATGGAACGCAAAACGTACGCGTATGACAAAGTGGTACGATGTAGTATCTAATTGGTTGTATTGAAGTTTTACCATATCGGTAGTAAAGTTTTACTGACTTTTTTAACAGAACGTACGAATTTATTCCAAGTAATGAATTTCAGTATCAACAAATTATTAATTTTACGGACCGGTATAATTTTAAAACCAAGCGGTACTAGCAATTTTAATACCAAGAAATAAATAAATAGCTGCCTTACTATCCCAGATTTTTAAAAATGCATCGATTATTTACGGTCGTAAAGCTTATCCGATCGACTCGAAATTTTGGACACATGCAAAATATGCTAAATTATCTGTAAAAGATGATCAGCAAAATCTGTGGAAAAATGATACGAAAAAGGTTGTTCTGATCGACTCGAAATTTTGAACACACATAGAACATGCAAAATTACGAATTAAATAAGTAAAATCTGTGGAAAAATTTGAAAAATAAATAAAAAAGTTGTACCCACCTAAATAATGCTTTATTAACAACCTGACTCGGGCTAAACAAAACTGCACTTTTTATTTGTGTACACAATTCTAAAGAATTTCTTCATGCGATTTATTTATGTATGTATTCATGCACAATCGTAATCAACACTTTCTGCTCCTTAGAAGAAATTGCATATTAAAATTATTTCTGGTATTGTTCGTCTCGCTGAAAGAAATGTATTCTTGAATTTGTTCGACATCTGTCACTCGGTGTGATTTTTTTTATTCTTTGGTATAAAGTTTTCTGGTGGAATATTTCTTCTTTCTTTATGTGAAGTTTGTTTGTTGATGTTGAATAAGATATTTTACTTTTTGAGGTCATTGTTTGCGGATAAAAAAGTTGTGGCAGATTTGCGCCCATTGTTGTGCAGATGGAATAAAACGAAATGACATTGTGTGTCTGTGTCCGTCTGTCTGTTAAATTTCGATTTCATTTCATTATTGAGCGATAATATTGAATGCCATATCAGGAAAATATTATGGGAGATAAAACTGACCGTAAATCATAACAGGGGTGGGAACATAAATGCACTGGTAATAATGTAGGGATGAAATTGTTACCGAGTGGAAATAGAGGGAAATATCGAGTTTTATGGTAATAATCGCGAAAGAGAGGTATGAAATTATTACCGAGTGGAAATAGAGCGAAATATCGAATATTGTGGTAATAATTGCGAACGAGAGGTATAAAATGGTTACCGAGTGGAAATATCGAGTTTGTAAAGATGTGTTGTAATATTTAAATGCCAACGGGAGGTTAAACTGATGTAGGTCGAGTAGAGTTGAATTTAGGTGGAAAATTACTGTTACCAACGCGGGAGTAGCATAATGTTGGTCTCCAATACAATTTATGTTTTTGTAAACTCGGTAAAATATTTTCCAAAAATTGTTTCACGAGTAATTTTACAAAATTTTGCAAGATTTACAAAGTTTTTACGTGACACGTATTTGTGCTATAATTTGTGCTATAATTTGTGCTATAATTTGTGCTATTAAACCGCCGTATTTGTTATTTATACGCATTTTTTTAACGAGACTGAACTTATAGATTCCTCTCCCTTTTGGTTATCATTTTTGGTAACAATTACACCCGATTTCTCTAACTTTACTAGCCGTATATACGAACATTTACAATGAAAATCGGGTATCGTAAATTTACAATTTAAATTTATTACCGCTGCTTGAAAAATTTCGAAATTTGATGTCCAAATATGTCTCATCGATAGAGCTCTACCTCTACCGAATTCGGAGTCAATACAATTTTATTACCAAATTATTTAGCGTGCACATCCTCTGCAGGAGCGAATGTGTCAAAATTAATAAATTTTTATGGCTCCTGTTTGCCCGAGTATTTGCAAAGTTGTAAAAAACAATGGGGAGACGAGATCCCTGCCGAGATGGAAATGATGATGATGTTCGCTCATGTTTTCTTCGAGAAATCTCTAGACAAATATTTTGACGAGATAATAAATAAATAGATAAAAAAAAGTAAGTGAGTAAAAATCACGGGGAAACAAATTGTGTATTGAATGAAAGTGAAATGAAGGATTTAAATTTATTTATGCTTCTCCTACTGGCTTCGTAAACCTCGTAAATGTATTTTTTTTCTTGACAAATTACTGAAACAATTCGTGCATTTTTGTGCAAATTTTACTTTTGCAAAAAATTTGCACAAAATCACACAACAATATCCGCTATTACCAAACCCGCTATCTGAATTTAAAAAAAACGTATTATAAGGTTTGTATTTGGTCCACAAAGAATGGAAGAATGTAAAATGTCTTTTACTGACCTAGTGAATTTGCAAATGTATTTTATTCTTGACAAACTACAGAGGCAATTCACCCATTTTTGTGCTGATGTTACTTTTGTAAAGCTGTAACGTAACAAAATAAATCAACGTAAGAGAACTATCTAAATTTCTTAAAACATATATTTTCCACTTTCGTAAAATATTTTTAAAGACGTCTTTAATCTACAAAGATGCAATTGTCCCGTAATTTTCATTCGTAAACTTAATTTTTTAGAGAGTTTACTCCACTGAGGAATATCCCACAACAAAATTGTCCAGTTTACACAGAAAATTTCACGAGAGTTTACTCCACTGAGGAATGTCTTACAATAAAATTGTTAAATTAATTAACATTAATTAATGAAGTTTGTATAGAAAAATTCACCTCACAAAATCACCAGCATTTCTCAGAGGAATATCTTACAATAAAATTGTAAAGTTTGCACAGAAAAATTAATCTCTATAAAATAACCAACTTTTCTCATTCTCCAAAAAATTTGCATCCTTTACTATACATGAAATTCACCTCGATCTCTTTCCCCATGCACCTTTATCTCATCTTTAATTTACTCCGCTGAGAAATATTCTCACTGAGGCAATTCACGCAGTCATTGGTAACTTTTAGAATCCGTAAAAACTTTGTGTCATAATTTTGCAAACTTTTTCAAAATAAAGAGACGCCCTTTTTATCTGAGCAAGTTTAAAAAAATTTGGAAGCTACTTTTCCCTCAAAATATTTGTAAAATTTTTGTAAAAGTTTGCCAGTTTCCGGATTTTACAAAGTTACCAAGTAAGTACTGCGTGAATTGCTTCAAAGTTGACTGCAAAACGTAATTTGACACACTTTTTCTTTAAAAAAATTTACAACCATTTGGAATTAATTTTAGCGCAGTATTTGCCAAAGTTGGAAGACTGTTTGTACTTTTTGTGAGTGAAAAGTTACAATAACTATTTTTAGATTTATGTTGTATATGGTCGTTTGCAAAGATTTGTAAATGTAATTTTTTGAGAATGTTGACGGAAAATTAGTTTGTTTATCTAAAATTAGTAAATTTTCCTCCGAAATATTTTCAAAATTTTGTAAAGTTTATAAGTTTACAGAATTTACAAAGTTTAATTTTAAGAATTTCCTCAATGTGAAAAAATCTGGAATGGTAAATTTTGGTTAATTACGTAGATTTAAGCTTAGATTGTACCATAATTTTATATTTCTGATAAGATTTTAGTATTTTTGGGATACTCACGTCAATTTTACAATTTAAAAAAATTCAGAAACTAAGTTTTGTAAATTACTAAAATTTGAAAAGTTCCAATTTATCTTTTTGTAACTGTGTAAAATTTTTGCGCAAGTTTGAACTTGCTTATTAAACTTTTGCCAAATCTAAGTACTGCACACAATTAAAAAGATAGGATAATGCGAGTAATTAATTTATTTCATACATATAACACTGGAATTTAAACCAAAATGGTTGTTTTTAAAATAATCGCCGAATTATCCGTACACTGTAAAGCATCCGGTAGAGTCACATATGTACTCCGTACTGGTATTGATTTGGTAATAATTCAATACCGGATTAGTTATAGTTTAATTCTGAGTGGTAGCGATTTCATTACCACAACCTTACTACACCGAAATGATAGATATTACCAATGCCGGTAGAGTCATATATGTACTCCGTCCGGTAATGATTCGAAATGATTTAATACCAGATGCCTAAGAGTGTATTTATGTATGAAAACCTAGAAACGTAATAAAGGTTTTCGTGAATATGTACACAAAATTTGGCATTTGGCCCTTATCAAATGCAAAATTCTAAAATAAATACATGTCCGTCCACTGCATATCTTACACAGCCGTGTTTAATGTATGAAAACCAAGAAAAAACATATTTTAAAATTTTCATAAAAATTTGCTATGTTAAATGTCGTTCGTAAATAATTAAGGAATTTTTATATTTATATTTATAAAGCAGGTTAGATGATTTAGTAATGTGAATGTATTTGTTTCACATATGACTTTCCTTACCTACAGTCAAAATAACTTGGTAACAAAATCGTCACCGCGTTCAGTCATTACATATACAAAGCTGGTAAACCTGGTA